CATGTGTGGTCCAAAAGGGTTGTGCCTGTGAGGCTTTTAGTTTTGCAATATACTATGATATATATATATATGATATGTGGGCTCAGGGTTGCATGATGCCTTTAAATTTGTATAGTTCAGGTGAAGTGAACCATACATAATATTCAGGCTTGTCGAACTCAGGCAGCAGCAACAAGAACAACAGAAATAACACACAAATCACTTAAAGGAACTTGTAGAGAGCTAGTAATTACTTCAACACATGGAGCGAAAAGCTAAGTACAAGATCGTACACGGTCGGCTGCTCCGGCCTGCCACTTCACATAATTGTGATCCAAATGCCCAATGAAGAGGGATTTGGTGGTGAAGGCATACCTCAAATCCCGCCATGAACCGATCTCATCGGCTCTGTTGAATTGATATCTGATCGATACCGTACTGTCCGTTGATCCGTGATACGTAACGAAACGTATAACAAAAGACCTGTGGATCATAAACTTCTTGAGCAGGCCCCCGGCCCCCCCCCAAATATGGACTACATATCCCAGACACTCCATGTATGCCATATATGCCTACATTGACCCCCCCTGGCACCACCCCAACTGATCGGCAGTCCCATGGCAGTCCCATGGGGAGTGTCTGGGTATGACTACATGATGTGCAAAACAACCATCAATCGTCCGGCATCGCCACGATGGAGAGTCACATTGTTGGTAGACGAGTGGACACCATGCTTCAGGGGCCAATGCACCATCATTTTGATTAGTGTGTCAGCATGTGTCAGCAGCTCTTGCTTCAAAACCTCTGCAACATCTTGGCTTTTGCTGCATACCAAGCAATCTCTAACAGGATCCCTAACAGGTCATTCAATCTTCCAGAAAGGGGCGATGGGTATTTACCGTTTGATCCATTGAATCAGCGTGATTCCAAACGACGGACCAACTCCATCGCTCCTCCATCGGTGTGGAGAAAAGCGGACATCGCCGCAGGGCACGGTTGAACATCGACATTCGCATTGGTCACAATGTTCATGAAGGAGGACTTTCCCACATTGGGATAGCCTGGAATGTCGGATAGGCGAATTCTTGGGCTTGTCGAAGAGTCGAGGACGCGCGCTCGCTGGCGACAGGTGACTGGTCAATGGATCAAAGAAGTCCAAAAAAGTGGTGCCGTAAGTGCAAACGATGCAATTTTACAAAGAGAACCCCTAAGAACAAGGAGCCCAAAGAGTAGCAATAGCAGCAGTCGTCAGACCAACAGTAGCCGCGTCGCCCCCCTCGCAGAAGTCCGTGAATCTCAGCAACTTACCCAGGCAACAAAAGACATTGGCTCAACGACCATCACCGCTCCACGAGATCTCGCCTTGCCTGTGAGGATCAAGGTCCGCGTGGCGGGATTGATCGCTGGCAAACGCCCCAGGTGTTGCCGTACCTATGATGCGTGGGGGCGTGGGTTCGGATCGGGATGCAACGGTGGGCCTCAAGTAGATCGGGATGCAACGTACTCTGATGTACTCTGTGTTGCAGATGTATCTACACTCATGAATAATTGATTGTCTGTAACCTGCAATTTCAGATTTTCACGTAATCTGTAATGCAGTACTGTATTCTACCTAGGAATTGGGTGGCACTCTTTATTGACCAAAACGGAGGGATGTGATTGATACGAGCAACCTAAACAAGAGCAACCGCACTCTCTCCGTGCGTGTCAGTCCGGTGCTCCCAACGTGTTTCCACCCGGAAGGAGATGACAGGCCACGAGCGGCGTCCGCGCAGCGGAGTCCGCGCGCGGTTGCCGCGCACCTCTTCGAGGAAGGACAAGGCACCTTGGAGCTTCTTCACTGATGTGGACATGCGACCCAAGGCCTCAGCGACGAACTCGCAATGGAGCAAAGCTTGTCTTTCGAAAGGAAGGAAGAGGTAGACCGTAAGATAGATAAAGCAGAGTAAATAACAGAGTCAGTCGCTGGTTTAGCTAGGTTCTCATCATTTCTTATCAATCACATCCAAGGCGGTTCGAGTCGTTCATGCTGTCGTAGTTTTAGTCCAAAGTGACCTAACTACAGGCCTATGAAACCTAGGCTGCGAAATTGGGCAAACCTTCGGATGTCTTTCAGAGTACCGCTTGCAACAAATCCCAAACCGCTTTCAAAGTCAGTACGACCCGAACTTAGTCTCTGGCCGCACGCTTCAGCATCTTGCACTTGTACAAGCTGTCAGCAAACTTCATCATTTTGACCTCAAACAATCCATGAAACGACCAAGGACGACCACCCCGGACGACTCGACTAGACAAGGAGACAAATACCGAACAGAAACGACATCTCCTCGAAAGCATGAAGACATCTTCCTGGGTGGCTAGGACCAACAGCAGCTGCTTTTGGGAGTCTTGACATGTCTTGACCCAACAAAAGCACCCGCCCAATGTAGCAAAATAGGATCAAATAGGTCAGTTTCCTGGACCGCCACCAGAACTCTATGACTCCACACACCCTGGTCACTGGTCCGGATGGGTGTCACCGGGTGTCACCGTTTTTGACCAAACCCGTGGCCGGTCGCCTTGGCCGGTCGGATGCAACTGGATGTAACCACGGGCTGCTTGGGATGACTGGATGCAACTGTGTTTGGTTGGGACCCAGTTTGGACATGCCCCTCATCCATCGATGGTTGACTCCAAACTCAGCTTAGAACAATGAGACGCTCCAAAAGTCCCATTCTACAGCTTATGTTGGACTGTGAAGTGGGCCAAGCTGCTGCAGAATCCATGTGTTCCATGCCTCCAACCATCCGCAGGTTGCTGGGCCACCCATGCCGCAAACGGACCACCTAAAATCGGCCTTGTGGAATAGAACGATGTCGTCTACCTCTGTAGCAAACCATTAGCCCAACTACGCTCCTTCCGGAGAGTACCTCAGTATGCACCTGTCTCGGAACAGCACCTGGCGTAGCCTACTGGCATAGCCATAGCCCTCGCCGATAGAGTACTCTTTTGTGGGTCTCATCACCTACCCTTTTCCCATCCGAACCTCCAATTCAACTGTTGAGGTCCATCGGAAGAAAAGACTTCCGACTTCCTCACCCGGGCCTCTCACATCCCAAAAAACAACGCCTCACAAGCCTCATGGGGCATACAAAAAAGGAAAAAAGAAACATCTCATCTGTATGACTGCTGTATGACTCTATTTCCCAGAACAAGGCCTTTCCGACTCATCCTGCCGTCCTCTTTCCAAATCTCTGCGGAATCTTGGGCAAGGGGCATATTCCTTGGCGATTCCATCCACCACCTTCTTGCACGCATTCACCTGGCTGTGGGTCATGGCGACAGCGACCGGTACCAACGTCGTGGATCCGCCGTTTCGGCGCGCGAAAAGGGACGACCAACGAGCGAACGACGAGTGAACGAGCTCGTTCGCTCGCTTTCTGCGGTTTCTGAAGTGAGCTGGCTGAGGCTTCGTTCATCGAAGCAAATTCGATGGACACGGGAGCTGGTGGTGAGCTGGTGGTTTACATGTCCCTTCAGAACATGCCTGGGAGACTTGCGTCAAGAAGGTTGATGGGGGGTGCATACTTATTTTCTAACTTAAAGCTCTGAGATAACCGGCTCAGCAGTTTGTGAAGCATTGTGAAGCTTCCCCAAATGATTAATTGACTACAAATCCTTGGTCCTTGATGTCAATATCAATAAGCGCCACTCGAAACATAGATGAAACAAAACCTATGTGGTGGTTCGGATGCATTCTCAATCTTCCGCATCTTCTTTCAAATCTCCTTGAACAAATTCTGAATCACCCAGCCCTTGAATTGTGTGATGGAAGCATTTTACTGTCCAACTGGAGCCAAGGAATTCCTTTGTACCCACCGGTTGACAAAGCTAGGAGCGGCAGGAGTTTGGGGCCAGTGGTGACCAGCTATATTGTGCCTTAAGAGGATGTAAAGGCATAGATTCTTAGAGCTCAGCACAAAAAACCCTTCTCCCTTTAAATTTTGAAGTCACGTACCCCTCTCACATTGAAGACCATTGAAACCCAGCTCAACGAGGCCTGACCCAAGGCAAGCTTGTAGTGGTCTCGGTCATAGAGAACATTGCCTGGCAAGTCTCCGAAGGAAAACTGCCTCACACACAAGAACAGCTATGCTTAAAGGTAATGTCATGAGCGAAGTAGAACGCCTCTTGAACACCACTTTCATTGGAACCTGCAAGAATGCCCTAGAATGTGGAAAAGCCTGTACCTGGCTATCTGGCTTGCTCGCCTGAGAAGAACACACAAGCTTAGGCTTATGTTGCACTCTTGGGCAACTAGTATGTGGGAAAAGCAAGGCAAGGAAGATCTGATTAGGGGGTGGAAGAACAGAACGTCACTGACAGTCACTGCGAAACAACTTCAACGGGCTTTCCTGGCTTTCTAGACATCGGTGTCAGTCTCACGGCTGCCTCATCTGGAAACATGTGTCACACTTGGAGAACACTTGCCAGACAATCGACCCCCAAGTGCTCTCAGCTTGGTACAACACCTGGACACCTGGTCGACTGCGGGTCGCTGTCGACTGCGGCCGTTGCTGTCGCTGCGGCAGACTGAGGGGCCGGGCAAAGGTCGGCATAGAATGGATGGATGTCGTCGATCTTGGGAAACCTGCCGGCGCCATCCACTCCGGACCAACGGATCCGGAAACCGGACAAACGCTCGCCTTTCTCCGGACAAACGCTTGAACTCCGGAAAACACCATGACTTCCAAAGATGGAGAAGAAGAAGAGACTTGAAAGCAAGCAACCCAAATCAAATGTCTATATTTTTTGGGTATAAAGAAAGATCGGAAGTAAAGGTCCTCTTGAATGGCCGTGTAAACCTGCACTAGTCTGTAGGTCTTTCCAACCTTCCGTTTTGCCTCTCTTTTGCGCAACGCCGCACCTAGCCGCACGTAGCACTAGGCACTAGGCTCCTGGCTCTTCCAAGATCTTGGAGAACTTCTCGTTGTAGCTGGTTTGGCAGAACTTCACCTCACAAGTGGCAACACCGAACTTGGCAAAGTTGCTTGCTTGGTAAGGTCAGGGTTTATCTGTAAACTATGGTTTTTGATTGAAGAAACATCAGTTACAGTTATAGGGTTGGTTTAGTATACCAGTTGCCAACAAGGGAGCTCTCAAATTGGTTCAGTTGATCATGGGAAGTAGCACGACACTTGCATCACCCTGGGTCGTCTGGTCCCATCGGGGAGTACAGCGGGGAGTACAGGATAGACAAGTGAGACATGAGCGGGGTATCGATCTCGCAAACAGGGTGTTTCTTTGGGGCCTCGCGAGCTCTGCGACCTGCAGATAGACCAGACTTCCCATGTCCAAATCTACAACTGTTAGAACACCGTTCGATATCAAATGCCACAGCAATCACCCGCTTCCGTCTCAACGTATCACGACGAGAGCGCGCGCTCGCTCGTCCGAGCCCGAGCCCCCGGTCGTCCAGTCCCAGAGCCGATCCAGGCCTTGCGCATGTAGAAGCTCCGGATCCGAGTGATCTTGAAACCTTTGCAGTGTCCGCCCAGAGGCGCGGGGACATTGGGATTTTTGTGCGCGGAGACCTAAGAAGGGCGAAAGGGCCCAGCATCGTTGACATGTGAAGAAGTGGTTCACGTCGTCATCTTGTGGATTGAAACTTTTAAGAAGGATGCCACTGTAACCCAAACCTTGGGAGTTTAGTTCATAGTTCCAGACGGGTCGACGATGAGAGGTGTAAACTAAACAGGACTGGGCAGCAGAAACCAGGCCTGGATGGACCACTGTAGGAGTCTTCCGTTGAGTCTTCGAGAGTACCTCACATAGTCCACAACCAAGGTGTGGCAGGAAGCAGATGTGAGTGGAAGGAGGGATATACATTTGGATGTATTTAGTACACAAAAGGATGCAAAAGGGACACAACATCTGAGCTCTGCGTTCGTGGGTAAGTTTCTGTAGATAAAGTATAACGACACAGTAACTAACAATGACAACATAGCCATTGAGATAGTTGCTTGTCTTTCCAGCATGACTTCAGGGCATGAACATCACATAATGAATCACAATTAGTTTTGTTTGAAGAACAGCTCCTATTCGGACTCATTATGCTACGAAACAAGTCTTTCTCCATGTCTTGTTGTAGAGTGTTGACGCTTTTGGTGTATATTGTAGGTTCCAGTTTTCCGATGTTGAATGCAACACAATTTGATTTGACATGTTTTTGCTGATTGTGGAGGCTTGTAGAGAAGCTTCCTGCTGAAGCTCAGACGCTGTGGCGGCTGAGAAGGTGATTAAAAAAGAACAAACCCTTTGTGGCTCAACTCGGCGTTTGCAGGACGGACGGAGAAGCTGCCCGGAAGGCTGCCCTGACGGAAGAGCCAAGGTACAATGTCTACGAGCTGCTTAGCTGGCGGAATAGTCTGAATCTCCTTGAACTTGTACATGATGCCTGCAATGACAACGGAGCAAAAATCTGCTTCCAAATCCTTCGGGCGCATGCCGGGTCTTTGGTACTTTGATACTGGCTCTAGGTGAAAAAAAGTGATATTTACGCACGCTTCTGCGCAAGCCGAGCGCAGGGTTCGTGGCCTGAAGTGATCGGCAAGATCCCAATCGATGGAAAATAGAATACAACAGATTGCAACCTGACCTGAACATGTTGTTTTGGGAGTCTTGTGTACATACCTTCAGGAATGTCAAACCCCAAGATTAAACGTTAAGCCTTCGCAAGGAATGCAAGTGAATGCACTCTGTGGTTATGAGGGTGAGGCTGTGGTATTGTGTGGTATTGTATGCAAGTGCATCAGCTCCTTTCTGTGATGCCATTTTTTTTTGTCCTTTCTGAGCCAGGCAATGACATAAGTCATGAGGCTAGGTCTCGGTCTGTGTCTGCGAAAACGCTGAAACACAGGGACACCTACACCGCCTTGAGGCACTTTCAGTACCATCCGGACCTTTGGACACTACAAATGCCAAGGAGTTACTACTAGCGTGGCACTTGTTACTACTAGCGTGGCACTTGTTACTACTAGCGTGGCACTTGTTACTACTAGCGTGGCACTTGTTCTATATTCCTTTCATTTCAAGAACTCCCCGACCCAAAATGGAGAAGATCGACCACACTGCAAAGGTGCCATCGTTGGGTCCATATCAGGTGCAGCAGAATTCTCGGAATGACCTATAGCGGACACGTGCAATGGATCGGCCAAGCGGGTGTTGCGAGAACTCAATGAGTCGCTCGAAAG